AGGACCCCTCTGTCAAACTCCTGAAGTTTGCGGACGACACTACAATCATTGGCCTTTTAAAGGACGGAGACGAGTCTGCTTACAGACAGGAGGTTAAAGAGCTGGCTGTCTGGTGCAATCACAACAACCTGGAGCTGAACACACTCAAAACAGTGGAGATGATAGTGGACTTCAGGAGAAACCCCTCAGTAAATTTTTTTCCTATATTTCTATTTCTGTATATAGTACATTTAATTTCATTTTTTTCTTATATTACTGTTATATTCCATCCCTACTGTGTTATTCCTATTTACTGTATGTCTGCACTATGTCTGTACTTTGTTCTGCACTGGAAGCTCCTGTCGTAAAGTCAAATTCCTTTTGTGTGTAAACATACTTGGTAATAAAGCTCTTCTGATTCTGAATAATTAACTGGGATCAGCTGCCTGTAAATGATAATGTAAGTAAGGGAAAGTATCTTCCATTGAAGGATTGTTTGTGTTGGTGTCATACTCGGTCAGTCTTCCTCTCTCGAGCTTGTTTTCCAGGTCTGCGAGTGTAATCCCACTGTATTACGGGAACGGAGGCGTGAAGGAAAGACTGTAAAACGTCACAACCAAACGGGCCCAATCAAAACCGTCGAAGCTGATTGGAGCGTGACCGCAGTTCCAGTCACCTGACTGACAGACACGCGAGCCTCAAGTGATGAACCCAAGGCTACTTGATTTCTTTAGATAATGCTTGCTTAATGATAAATAATTGCAGTTATGTAAAGGTTTTAAAACCTTACATTGAGAATACACTGACTGACATTTTTATTTTGTAGGCCTATCTGTTCTTCAGAGAAATGAAGCTTTTCCTCAAATCTGCTCCACAGTGAAAGAGGAAGTCGCCATCTAGTGTTTCTTTGTGGAAAGACAGGAGCAACTAAGGAATGGAACATTAGCTTATTTTTTATTAAATATTTGGCATTTTACAACCTATCGTTTTTAATACTTATATTACAATGAAAAAATATATTAAATATAAATTAAAAAAAATAAAATATTAAACAGCCCGACAGTTTTCAACACTGATAATAATAAGAAATATTTCTTGAGCAGCAAATCAGCATATTAGAAGGATTTCTGAAGGATTTCTAAAGCCTGGAGTAATGATGCTGAAAATTCATTCAGCCTTAATTAAAATAAAATAAAAATGATATTATATATCAAATAAAAATAAAAATAAAAATAAAAATAAAATGGAAAACACAACAACAACATCACTAACAACCATAAAACTTCCCAACTCTGCATGAATCAACTTTGACAAAGCTGACCGAGTCTGACAGCCCACCCTGCCACCGCTACTTTCCTCCTCCAGCAAGTCCTTCAATGTACAAAACAGCTTTTGTGACGGGACAAAGCCGGCAATGTACTTCATTGTGTCAATCTTGTTTCCCCATCTCGGACTGCAGATGGGATATTGAAATTCACTTCACGTTTCCCTCTACTCTGGCTATTGCAAATGCGCTGAAGGGCAGTTCAGTGTGACACAGAGAGAGGAGTTTTCTTATTTATCTAACACCAGAACTCTGCTGGGGGGGAGAGAAGGGTCGCCGGGGCTTTCTGAACACACTGGAGACAGTTCATTGAGGATCATGGAGCTCATTATTCAGAGACCCCTGAACTTCCATTCACAATGCACACAAGCAATGCCTCACTATAGAAATTGAATAATAGTAGCCTATGTTTTGGAAATGTTATTTGTTTTTAAAGGGTTAATAGTGTCAGACGTAAGCACTTTTCGACCGTTTCACACTAAACTTTTCATCTAGACTTTCATTGTTTTAGTGCAAGATATCTTGGATATGTTTTGATAAACCTTTTAAGGATCCTGGATATAATGATCCCCTTTTGGGGACACTGTTGATAGCTGTATATTTGAATGTGTGAAAATTAATTTATACAGTGTAACAATTTTTTTTAAATGTAATATTATTAACTAAGTAAAAAAAAAATTTTCAAAAATAAATATAACATACAGTATTTAGCTTTTACATTGTCATTTTACTAAACTTGTTCAAATATTATTTGGAAAATATTTGTTTTTAATTAAAAGTTACATTTAAAGAAAACAACAATTAAAAGTTCAAAAAGTACATGAGATTAATTCATATTTTTCACAGAAAAAAAAAGTCAGGATTTTTTTATAAGAAAAGTAGAAAAATATAGAAGAATATTTTAAAAAGAACAAATAATAAGAAAATGAATGAATGTATTGATTTCTGAGCAGAAAGGAGAATGAAATAATTACATTTAGTGAATGTAAACAAAAAAAAATTATTACGATAAATGTATTTTAATAATATCTTAAGGGCACACTTTAACTTTGGCAGCCTTAAAATGAATGAATGAATTAATATTTTTCACGGACTCCCTACAAGCCCCTTATGGGTTCCCAAGTTTGATCGCCACTATGCTGGGCCACTTTAGTCACATTAACAGAATGAATATATAGGCTATTTAGAAGCATATTCTTTCTAACATTATTTGTTTTGTCAAAATGATCATCTGTTTCCCACTTATGGCTTAAATTGTCCTCAACTTGGCAAGAGAATTGCTCTTACGTCGAGATATCATCATGAGTTTTTGATATGCAGTCTATATATATCATCATGAGTTTTTGATATGCAGTCTAGATATCATCGAGTTTTTGATATGCAGTCTATTTATTTATCGCCAGGGGGCGGCACAACAAACTATAAAACACCTGCTGATGACAAATCCTATTGAAAACATTCAGCTGTTAACATCCTCAAACAAAAAAGTATATTGTGAGTGCATAAGGCAAAATAATCAATAATATGATCCTAATTTAGAAACCAAACCCCTGAAACGCCTCTAGTAGAGACGCACATCAAACTGATGTTTCCTTTTATTCACGACCGAATTCAGGTGGGCGTGGCTTAGACGGCAAGGAGCTTGTCTGTGATTAGTCAAGGTACGATTGGTATAAATAATTATTTTTTACATTTGATTTATTTACTGGGTATTTTCAGTTCACTGCATAGCAACGTTTCTCAGTCTCATAACTCAGGTGTAATTATTATCATCGCACCGATGTCTCCTGATAATTTTCTCCTCGCTGATCGAGATGGACCAATCACAGTCGATTGTGATTACAGAATAAAGAGTTTTGTGTGATAATTTTATAGAGATTACTGGAGCGGATTTCTATTCGACTGTCAGGTGCTATTCCTTATAAATAATAAATATAAATGATTATGATTTTCAGTGTATAAACGTATGTAGTAAGGGAAAAAACGACGTAAAATTTCAATGCGTCTCGATGGTGGATTCGGATTTCTGGGCCACCGCTTGGAAGAAGCAAACAAACTGATAGGAAAGTGTTTTTGGTCATCGGCGTTTGCCTCCCACTGGTTAAAGATCACGGTTAATGTTTCCTCAGAGAGTATCATGAAACGTGGATTTCATCTGACCTGTTTCCAGTTTATTTGCATCCTGATGCGTCCTAAAAGCAAAATACGGCGGTAGACGTGTTTAGTTAAGAGTAGGGCTGCACGATTAATCGCATGCGATATTTAACGCGCATCTTGTAAGAAAGCCGGTTCTGTAATCAGCGGTAAATCTCCATCACCTGCGTGCTTTCACATTGAGCAGCATTAACTACACAGAGCCGTTGTTCACTGATGAGCAGCGCAAAAAATCGCGCGAATATGAACGTGGTTTAGCGCAGCTCGTCAGTGAACAACGGCTCTGTGTAGTTAATGCTGCTCAATGTGAAAGCACGCAGGTGATGGAGATTTACCGCTGATTACAGAACCGGCTTTACTGATAAGATGCGCGTTAAATATCGCATGCGATTAATCGTGCAGCCCTAGTTAAGAGGTAGGCTAAGTGGTTTATTTCATGCATACTTGGAGAAATATAAAGTCGTGTGAATGCTTGACAGCTTTTGTTTAGTTTAACTTTCTGGATTCACCCGACATGTATTATTATGGACGTGCTTTTAACAGGGCAAACAACAAAACATGTTTTATATTTCCACATGTGTAGGCTACTGGCTTATCAGTTTTTTAATAAGGAAATTAAATTAGACTCAAGTCAAGTCAGCAGGTGCACAAAGCCTAGTATTTAATCGCAGCGAGTTTTCATACCAAAAAATACATTCAGAAAATTGCAGCATGCTGATTTTTGAATACTTTTTTTTTCTTTGTGTTTTATTCTTACTTCTTTAGGACCTAAAATTGTGAGATTTTTAAATCCACAATAAAAGCCTAAAATTATCACACACAAAAAAGTTTTTAATGCTGTTTAAAAGCACAGTAATATCTAAGCTGTACATTTCAAGTTATTTAGTTTATTTATTAAATGACTATAGCCACTGTATTCATAATTTAAGTTTTGTAAAAAGTTTAATCAGGTTTTTCTTTTGTGTTTCATTCTTATTTTCATCTTTTATCTGAAAAATAATGCGGTTTAACCCAGCTATATCTGAAACTTGGGCTTACCTCTAGATGGAAGTTTATTTAATTAATTGGCTCATGAGAAAATTAATTGCTTTAATTGAACGTCAAACCACTAATGCAAAAACTTTTCCTCGAAGCTTAGTTTCTCAATCTCTGGTGGACTGACCAATCGATTTTTATAATTTATTAATTATGTTTGTTGTTTTTAGTGTTTCTTGCCAGGGTTTCCTCCTTCAGTTATTAAAATGTGATGTCAGTAAGGCAATACAGGTAAATGTTGACCCATAAATAGGGTTACCGTTCCCTGAGGGAGTAAAACAGCAGGACCAAACAGCAATAACAGCAGGTTTTGAGAGCATCAGGTAGGAGAACATTAACCAGACAGGCATCAGGCGGCACAGCGAGCAGCAGTGGCCTCTGTTACTCAAGTGCTCTTGGAAACAGACACCTGAGCCACGGCCTCCTCGTCCTCCCCCACCCATGACATCACACGGCTCTTATCTGCTGCCAAACACAAAGCCGCATTTAGCTCGCAGTAATCAGCGCTGTGACCTAACCTGCCATGCACTGGAGATGCATGAAGATTCAGGTGTGCTTTTTGGTTCGTTTGATTCACGTAATATGCTGAAGTAATGGATCTTTGAGCTCTGCTGGACTCCGCTTGGAGTTCTCAAGATCTGAGGTAAGATGTCATCCGAGGAGTTTAAAATGTGAGGAGAAATGCATATGAAATGTATGTATTAAAAACCTGTGGCGTGAGTTCTGAGCCAATTAAAGAGCAAATTTAGCAGTTTGATTCGCAGCAGACAGTAAATTTAGAAATTATTTTAAAGGTGCCTTTCAGTAGTTTAAATGTGTTTCGAGTTTAAAGTTACGTCATACAGTCATATGTCACATGCAGTGCAAAGCTGTACCTACAGGAGGGAGCCTGAGTGAATCACAAGATGGAACTGGTGCATTATACATTACCGTTCAAATGTTTGGGGTCGGTAAGATTTTTCAATGTTTTTGAAAGAGATTATTAAAAATAAAGTATCTTTATTGGCTGCTATGGTTCCGTGAAGAATCTTTCATATATTTGTGGAAACTTTCCTTTGCACAAAAGGTTCTTTATAGTGGAAAAGGGGTCTTTAGATTATTGAAATGTTCTTCACATTAAGAAAGAACATTGTTCTTTTAGGAACTGTTTGCTGAAAGGTTCTTTTGGGTGCTGAAAATACTGTTCTTCATGTCTGTGATCATGAGTTTGTCTGTTAGGTTAAAAACAAATAAAAATATGCTCAAAGATTGAGGGCAGCCTCTTAAAGGTATACGAGTTATTTTATAAGGCTGGCTAATTGTTTCTGACTCGAATCATGTGCTGAATAATGAATTTGTACTTTTATCATCTAATCAGCGCCCAAGTCCCAAGATTGAATCAAATGAGACTAAAACACACGTTTGTGCTTCAAGCTGTCCTAGAATTGAATAAGGCATCAAAATGTCAGGAATCATGTTTTTCTTTCTCTCAATCTTTTATTTTGTTATGTGAGATGGTAAATCTGGTGATCTGTGTGGTAGAAATTGTGAAAGAACATGCTGTGATGCAAGACAAATTTCAAACTTTGTCTGACAAAGTTTATACATGCATCGTTTTTTTATGGCATCTCTGCAAAAACTCCCTTTTGGAACCTTTATTTTTAAAGGTGAAGGCTGCATTTATTTAATCAAAAATACAGAAAAATTAGATATTACAATTTAAAATAGCTGTTTTCTATATGAATATATTTTAAAATGTAATTTATTCCTGTGATGCAAAGCTGAATTTTCAGCATCGTTACTCCAATCTTAAGTGTCCAAACCGATTTTATTGCATTTCGTACATATTTTACAAAGTGGCTAATTCGTACAAATTTGTACAACCTGACTTCATACAATTTTTGCTAAATTGTAGGTATATTACGATTTGCACAATTCGTATGAATTGGTACGATTGACCTACACCTAACCCCGCCCCTAAACCGACCCTTCACTGGGGTCTAGACAAATCGTACAAAACCGTACGAGTGCGGTCATACGAATTCATATGAATCAGCCACCTCGTAAAATATGTACGGATTGGTTGTGAGATACTCAGTGGTGTATAAAGTACCTGAAAGCCATACTCAAGTAAAAGTACAGATATCTTACCAGAAAATGGCTTTTGTAGAAGTTGAAATCACCGTTTAGAATATTACTTGAGTAAAAGTCTTAAAGTATGTGATATTTATTGTACTTAAGTACGAAAAGTACTTAAACGTACTTAAGTATTGAAAGTAAAAATACAAGTAAATGCAAAATGGAAAAAAAGCAAATAAATATATATATATAAAAAAAATTCATACACCGCTTGAGTAGCAAGATTGTGTTTAGTTTTAACTCTTTCTTCCATTTTGCATTTTTTGGGTTAGAATAAGAAGCACTTCATCCGGTACTTAGTGTCTTTCATTCCAACATAAGAAAACATTTCTGGAATCTGCATCTGAAATAGCATTTAGATGTATTTACACAATTTATGTATCTCAGTGGGGACATGGATGCATTTAAACTGCCGTTACAGATGCATAAATAGGCCTAATGTTTTGTTTTTAACATGAAACGTTGAATACTGATATTTGAAATAATTAATAACATGAACAAAAAAGTCAAAATGTGAAATTAAAACAGCCAGTAGGTGACAGCAAGTGCCTGTTAATGAGTGAGTGATTGAGATTCAACCGATTCATTCAAAAAGCTGATTCATTCAATAAGTAAACACCGTCC